GAAAGAATCAAATGACTTTTGACTAGATACCGGATATGGAAATTCTTCAAACAAACTGATCACTCTCCTGTACAACAAAAATATTTTATCAAAACATGAAAGGCTGAAATTGTGTATCATAAGAATTGAATGTTAATGTTAATAGAACGATTGTGCATATAATGACTTAGACTATAGCATATTCATGTTCTATATTACTGAGCGGTGAGCAATACATTTTTCAACAGCAAGCTTTCTTTTCTCTCCAAAAGGATGATCACAGAAACTTTATGTCAGTACGTCCAAGTATCAGCTATCACCGAAAAAAGTAGAATGTTATTACATCACAAATATCATAACCAATCCATGTTTACCATCGGCAAAAGGCAGTAAACGCCAATGTGCATAAAACACCCGTATCTCTTGAGAAGAAAAACGAACACCGCGTAATGGCACCCCCCCCATCTCTGCACATGAAGCTATGCTCAGGCAGAATAAAGACTGTTTTATTTTAATTAGCGAAAGAGAGAAAATGTAAAAACAAGGTCAGAACAGAAATAACATACTAATGTTTACAACAAACGCAACAATACTGGTGAATCAGTAGTAAAACTACGGAAAATATAAATCAGGTAGTGGATTCGATAATTCTATGCTTTACAATTTACATCGACCGTCATCTGAAATTCTGCTCAAGTTTCCAGCAGGCGAGAATTTTATCTTCTTAAATAACCTTAGCGAACACGTTTGCGGTGCATGTGGACGGGGAAGAAAACGAGAACAAGAGTGTAGAGGAGATGACGAAACGAGGGACACTTAGTCTCTTGCAAACAGGAAAATACGCAATGGCTGGAGTATTACATCAGTGACGTCGTTGCATAACAAAAGAGGCAAAAGCGACAAGAAAAACTACCACCGGTTAAACTAGCCGATTAACCCGCTAGCCGTTTTATTTATACCTACACGAATATAATCAGAAACCAACTGGGAAGAAAACTGTTACAACAGCATTGAGCACAGCTGAGACAGGAAAGGGCACTATGGTACAAAGTTTGATCAATCTTCAGGATGATAGACAGTTGAAAGAATCATGTGATATGACGTCGGCGATATCTCTATGCTGTTACGCACAGTAGGTTTTTAAAAGACTAAGGCATAACTAGCTAAAGATACGGAAGAAAAGGTTGATTTACGATGGAATCGTCTGTGTTGCAAAGCAGCATTCAACTGCTGATGCTCCTCGACATGGATTAACAAAACTTTTTATAAGTGTAGGATTAAAAAGATAAAGGAATAAACAGCGCAGGCGATTACCAAAATCATCTGGGCTTCGTAGACGCACCCACCTTCAAATTCATGAGTCGAAAAATCCGAAAATGTCCAAAGCTACGACGAGGACCCAACCGGGTCAGAACAAAAACATTATGCTCAGCAGAAGTACATATCGAAGTGGATAAAAATGAAGATCGCCAACTAAGCACATTCATGAATTTAGTTCAATATTTCAGAAATGTTCAAGACCAATCACTGACGCCTGTTTTTGTTCACAAGTTTCATTCTGGATGTACATACAATAAAGAATCTAAGAGAAGAACGATGTCAGCATAAACAAAACGAGGACCGAAAATGAACTTGAAGAAAAGTCAATAATAACGAATACATAACGACCCAACGATGTACTAAAGTCAATACACTTAATCTGCAACAGATGACGCTGGTAGGGTTCATTTCTGCAACGGAAAACAGCAAAACCAACAAAAGCATAAAAATGACGTGGAGCACTTCTCGAAGACTGAAAATATTCTTTTACCAGGAACTTTCGTTGTGCTAGAAACGGAACATATTTGATTTGATTACTGCGTGCTCTCTGTTAACCAATGGGTGAGAAGCATAGATATTATTATTCAGCTATTCATAATAGCAGACTGATACTATACAGCATGGAAAGATGTTTATGTTCGGGATAACAAGAACAGATGCGAGGACGAACGCATAAGCAAGAGTACAAACAGAAAAGTCTGTGAAGCCAATGCCTAGGTTAAATAAGTTAAAGTGTCAATGGACAGGATGCGTTATAAAAAGTATCGACCGTCGCTACACCACAAAGACAATATTCAGGAGAGAGTGAACGACCAGTCAAAGGTCAGGTTGTTGAAAAATCCCGAGAGTTCGCTGATTCGCTTTGCATGTGTTACTGGTGACCTGGAGAAACCCTATGAACTGATCCCATACAACAATCTATGGTGGTCAAGCCTGGACTGGAAACACAAGATCGATGGCCAATTGCTAAGGACCATCCAGTCAGAACCGGCGTTCCGCCGATAAACGGAAAAGCAGCAAATTAGGCGGAGAAATTCACGTACCTACGGGTCATGTTTGTTGGTAATGATTCGAGGAAGAGATCGATCGGTAAAGTGGAATGGCCAGCGGCGTTTTGCGTGAATTAATCCGATGACTAAAGCAGAACTGAGACTGCAGACTAAGCTCTCGGTGATCAAGTCGGTCTTCATCCTCGTGCTTATTTATGGTCATGAGTAGTCTTGGACCATGACTGAAAAACTTCGATGTCGGGTACAAGAGGCT